CTTCTTTACCTCTGACGCGAACTCCTCCAGACTCCTCCGACTGTTGTTCCCACACTGCCTTAGCCCAGGCGAAAGCCCTCCCGGACATCAGCGTGATGAGGTACGCTATCTTTGAGTGGTCCGAGGGGAAGGAGGAGGACTGCAGCTCGATGATGAGAGAACACTGAGCGAGAAACACCTGACAGGTTCCTGACTCTCCAGTGAAGCGTTCCGGGAGAGGTAAGCGGGGTTCTCGGGAAACCGGGGTGACCGGGAGGCCGTGCTGCTAACAGCTGGGTTACTGAGGGGCTGGGAGGTAACCGTCATAGTAGGCTGCCTGACAGACAACTTGCGGAATTGCTCCAGCAATGTGTTCAACGCTCAGGCATGTCGTTCAGCCAAGGTCTGGAACCCTTCAATAAGACCACGAAGCAACTCCTCGAGACGGCGTTGCGGAGCTGGTCCGAGTCTACTGGGTCCGTCATGGCCAGTTCGTACTATCACGGCACAGGAGAAGACCCAGATGCAGACAGTTTCGAAGTAACAAAAGTTTATTACAAAAACAGGGGGGCAGGCAAACGACAGGTCAAGGGCAGGCAGAGGTCAGTAATCCAGAACAGAGTCCAAAAGGTATAGAATGGCAGGCAGGCTCAGGGTCAGGGCAGGCAGAATGGTCAAAACCGGGAAAACTAGAAAACAGGAACTAGAGAAAAACAGGAGTACGGGAAAAACGCTGGACGAGACAAGACGAACTGGCAACAGACAAACAGAGAACACAGGTATAAATACCCTGGGGAAAATGGGGAAGATGGGCGACACCTGGAGGGGGGTGGAGACAAGCACAAAGACAGGTGAAACAGATCAGGGTGTAACATATCTAAATTGTTCAGGGGGGAACACTTGAAATGCACTCATTTTAAATATGTAGTTAGGCTGTTAAAAGGTATTATACAAGCCAATGGTCATCTATAAGGCATTTATTCAGGGATTTGTTCTTTGTTTAATATGGAGTGCATTCGGAAAGTATTCAGACCCCTTCCCTTTTTCCACATTTTGTTATGTTACAGCTTTATTCTAAAATGGATTAAATAAATAAATATCCTCAATCTACACACAATACCACAATACATTTTTACAAATATATTAATAAGAAAAAACTGAAATAAGTATTCAGACCCTTTGCTACGAGACTCGAAATTGAGCTCAGGTGCATCCTGTTTTCATTGATCATCCTTGAGATGTTTCAACAACTTGATTGGATTCAATAGATTGGACATGATTTGGAAAGGCACACACCTGTCAATATAAGGTCCGACAGTTGACAGTGCATTTCAGAGCATAAACCAAGCCATGAGGTAGAAGGAATTGTCCGTAGAGCTCCGAGACAGGATTGTGTTGAAGCACAGATCTGGAGAAGGGTACCAAAAGATGTCTGCAGCAATGAAGGTCCCCAAGAACACAGTGGCCATCATTCGTTAATGGAAGAAGCTTGAAACCACCAAGACTCTTCCTAGAGCTGGCCGCCTGGCCAAACTGAGCAATTGGGGGCCATTATGGTAGAGCGGCCAGACGGAAGCCACTCCTCAGTAAAAGGCAGCCCGCTTGGAGTTTGCTAAAAGCCATCTAAAGGACTCTCAGATCATGAGAAACAAGATTCTCTGGTCTGATGAAACCAAGATTGAACACAATGGCCTGAATGCCAGGCGTCACGTCTGGAGGAAACCTGGCACCATCCCTACGGTGAAGCATCGTGGTGGCGGCATCATGCTGTGGGGATGTTTTTCAGGGGCAGGGACTGGGAGACTAGTCAGGATCAAGGGAAAGATTAACGGAGCAAAGTACAGAGAGAACCTTGATGAAAACCTGCTCCAGAGCGCTCAGGACCTCAGACTGGGGTGAAGGTTCACCTTCCAACAGAACAACGACCCTAAGCACACAGCCAAGACAATGCAGTGGTGGCTTCAGGACAAGTCTCTGAATGTCCTTGAGTGGCCCAGCCAGAGCCTGGACTTGAACCTGATCGAACATCTCTGGAGAGACCTGAAAATAGCTGTGCAATGACGCTCCCCATCCAACCTGACAGAGCTTGAAAGGATCTGCAGAGAAGAATGAGAGAAACTCCCCAAATGCAGGTGTGCCAAGCTTGTAGCGTCATACCCAAGAAGATTCAAGACTGTAATTGCTGCCAAAGGTGCTTCGAAAAAGTACTGAGTAAAAGGGTCTGAATACTTATGTAAATGTAATATTTCTGTTTTGTATTTTTTATACATTTGCAAGAATTTATAAAAAACTGTTTTTGTTTTGTCATTATGGGGTATTGTGTGTAGATTGATGAGTGGGGGGGGGGAGGGGGACAATTTGATCAATTTTAGAATAAGGCTGTAACGTAACAAAATGTGGAAAAAGTCAAGGGGTCTGAATATTTTCCAAATGCACTGTATGTGTTTACTAATTCACAACTAGGACGGGTAACACTTTATTTTAAGGCTCCGTAATAAACCATTGATAAGGTGTTCACCATTTATTAATCATTACTCCCACATTAATAAACCATTTACTAATCATTAGTAAAGTATTTTTGCAGTCCCTAATCTAAGGTGAGTGCTATTTATAATTTATTGATACTTTATGTGTTTTGAATGACCAGAGTAATTTCTCACCAAAAGATGGTTATGCCACTGGTAGACATTCCTGCTGTACCTTGTAAAAGAACAAGCACACAACACAGGATGTTTAATGAAATATATACAGTACCAGTCAAAAGTTTGGACACACCCACTCATTCAAGGGTATTTCTTGATTTTTTACTATTTTCTACATTGTAGAATAATATTGAAGACATCAAAACTATGAATTAACACATATGGGATCATGTAGTAGCCAAAAAAGTGTTAAACAAATCAAAATATATTTTATATTTGAGATACTTCAAAGTAGTCACCTTTTGCCTTGATGACAGCTTTGCCCACTCTTGGCATTCTCTCAACCAGCTTCACCTGGAATGCTTTTCCAACAGTCTTGAAGGAGTTCCCACATATGCTGAGCACTTGTTGGCTGCTTTTCCTTCACTCTGCAGTCCAACTCATCCCAAACATCTCAATTGGGTTGAGGTCGGGTGATTGTGGAGGCCAGGTCATCTGATGCAGCACTCCATCACTCTCCTTGGTTAAATAGCCCTTACACAGCCTGGAGGTGTGTTTTGAGTCATTGTCCTGTTAAAAAACAAACAATAGTCCCACTAAACGCAAACCAAATGGGATGGCGTATCGCTGCAGAATGCTGTGGTAGCCATGCTGGTTAAGTGTGCCTTGAATTCTAAATAAATCACAGACAGTGTCACCAGCAAAGCACCCCCACACCATAACACCTCCTCCATGCTTCACGGTGGGAACCACACATGCGGAGATCATCCGTTCACCTACTCTGCGGGGGGGGGGGATGTATGACAGCCAGGCACTTATATTTGAAATACAGTGGGGAGAACAAGTATTTGATACACTGTATTTGATAAATCAGCAGTGTATCAAATACTTGTTCTCCCCACTGTATACTGTCTTTAGGCTAAGGTATTATGAGCCAATGGTCATCTATTAGGCATTAATTCAGTAATCTTCATTATCTAATAATTGTGTTTATTCATTCACAACTAGGATGTTGTTGGGCCCAACACAGGCAGTGTGGTCCCCCCTTCTGGTACCAGCGCTGTGGGAAAGGATGCTAGGCTTAGCAGAGACAACTCAGAGGTGAGTGTAGTGGAGGTAGGAAGAAAACAGAGAGACACAGATGTACTGCCATTTCCTTAATATGTTTGCTCTATACATAATTAACTATTAACACTTAGGCGTGACAGACAGACAGACAGACAGACAGACAGACAGACAGACAGACAGACAGACAGACAGACAGACAGACAGACAGACAGACAGACAGACGAGAACAAGGAGAATCACAGACAGACAGAGTGACAGATGGACAGACAGACAGTCAGAGGAAGACTGCAGAACAGGGTGGCAACAGAGGCACATTTATAGTGGTGAGTTGTATCTCCAGTGGTGCTGTTACATGTTGTATTTGTCTTAAACAGCTGGTAAAAAAGGAGGACTATGTTTCACCGGTCACTGGTACAGTAAAAGCTGAGAAACGCTTAGCCTCTACGAATCTGAGAGTGGAAGACTCGTCTCTCGTCTCTAACATCTTTGTAAACAGTCCCATCACAAGTAAGACTGTTGAATAAACTTCATTTGAACGTACTTTACCTATTGTCTGCAGATTTTTTCCTTATGTAGGAGGTAATCTGTGACAAAATATCTACAGAGTAGTGTTATTAACCCGACTTTCAGTACGCTGGTCTGTATGTCGGTTTGTATTTTCAATGCTGATGCAATTCGCATGGGACTTGCACAATACAGTATGTCAACAATGACCGAGTTTAACCGAAGTACGGACCAAACATTGTCCCATGCAATCAGCTAGCAAATTTCACAAGCACTTCCAGCTGATTGCGAGGGAACGCGTTTTGGTGTTTACATACATATTGTGCATCATGTAAAACGCGTCAGGAGATGGAAAATACAAGCGACAGAACCTACCGGCGCCACAAAAATTCTGGTGAACAACATTTTCCTGTGGTTACCCTATCTCCACTTCCTACAGCCAAAAGGACCAACAGCACAGACAACCGGTAAAGTATGTTTAAATATAATTGTATTCAACATTCTGGCCTGTAGAGACTATTGCATCTTTTTTTACAGCAACTTCTTTCAGACTGATATCCATGGAGTAACCATGGTAACAGTCTGATATTTAGACAAAGACACGCTGTACTATAGTTGCCTAGGTTATGTGTCAGTAGCATTACTGCCTGTATGTGTAAGTAGCAGGGGGTGCGTGCTCGCGATGATGTGGGTTGGTGTGGCTGAAATGCCAGGGCTGAATCTTTGTCCCAGTCCGCCCCTAAAGAGGGGTGTGCCTTCACTGCCTGTAGTTCTGCAACCTGTGTTAGACCAATCAAATAGCCTACAAGCACGCTGATCTCATGACTTACTTCCTGGTCGTCTTTTTCCTTCTGTGAAGTGTCTGTGTTATCGAACCTGCAACTATGGTTATTCTAAAAGGAATACCGTCCATTCTGTCGCCAGAGCTGCTGTTTGCCCTGGCCAAGATGGGCCACGGAGACGAACTGGGTAAATAAATCAGCTAGCTACACTCATAAGAACGAACCGAAATGTGCTGGTTCAGTGAAGGTCTGTGAACGTCACCTGTTGTCAGGATCTTGTTGTCAGTAGTGATGTTACGTTTGATACGGGAGCTCCGATGCATGCGTCGAAATCGCTAACGCGTTTAACACACGACTGTGTTTTGCGCAAAATAGTATGCAGCATCATCTGGATATGTGTGCAACAAAAGTTCAACATTCACCTTCTGCTACCATTTCTGGCAACCCGTTGACGAATACAGTTGACGCATACGTTCGAAAAATCCAACGTATGCACCAAAAAGAACGCTCTGCAACGCAATTTCGCAACGCAAACGCAGCGTTCCATTGGAAATTAATGTACTTCTGGTGTCCCAAAACGCAAAACACAGTCGGTGTACTTAAAACAAAGCAGTATGCCTATCAGAGTTGCCAGGTACAGGTGCAATTTCTAAGACATTGACCACTCAAAACCAGCGCAAAGGGTCTGAAAACTAGCCAAAATCGTTTTTCCACAGCAAGAGAAGAGTGGCCACATTTATACAATAAACTTTTTTTCCATAACGTTATCGTGCCAATTAAGAAGGAATGTCGACGTAACTTGTAAGGACTTTAGAAGCAAAAACATGAATAGCTTGGCAATTTAGAGGTAAGAAGTGCTTGTGTTTCCCAATAGCCTGCTGGAATAGGCTACTGAGGATGGCGTCATTTCAATCACTGAATTAAATATGAATAATATGTATATGAACTGAATATGCTTGTCAACAACAGCCAGTGTTTATTATATATATATTTTTTTACCTGTAGCCTATTCTGACTGACTGTTACCTTCAATCTAATGCTTTCTAACAACTGATCGGCAATTGCGATAGAGATTTGATAGCTTCAAATGTAACTAAACGTGGCCATTAATAGTTGCAAAATAACACAAGGCTACAACAACAATACAGGCTATTTATTAAATCTGTTTGCCAGTGGCACAAATTTATTTGCAATGACACCATCCCTACAGTGAAGCATGGTGTTTGCAGCATCATGCTGTGGGGATGTTTTTCAGCGGCAGGTACTAGGAGACTAGTCAGGATCAAGGCAAAGATGAACAACTCGCTGGTTTGAATCCCCGAGTTGGCAAGGTGGAGAAATCAGCCATTCTGCCCTTGAGCAAGGCAGTTAACCCCCAACAACAACTGCTCCCTGGGTGCCGGTGATGTCGATTTAAGGCAGCCCCCCGCACCTCTGATTCGGAGGGGTTGGGTTAAATGGTGGAAGACCCATTTCGGTTGAATGCATTCAGTTGTGCAGTTGTACAGAGAGATCCTTGATGAAAACCTGCTCCAGAGCGCTCAGGACCTCAGACTGGGACGAAGGTTCACAGGACAACAACCCTAAGCACACAGCCAAGACAACGCAGGAGTGGCTTCGGGACAAGTCTCTGAATGTCCTTGAGTTGCCCAGCCAGAGCCCGGACTTGAACCCGATCGAACATAGCTGTGCAGCAACGCTCCCCATCAAACCTGACAAAGCTTGAGAGGATCTGCAGAGAAGAATGGGAGAAACTCCCCAAATACAGGTGTGCCAAGGTTGTAGCGTCATACCCAAGAAGACTCTAGGCTGTAATCGCTGCCAAAGGTGCTTCAAAAAAGCACTGAGTAAAGGGTCTGAATACTATACTATAAATGTAATATTTCCATTATTTATTTTTAATGAGCAAAAAATTCTAAAAACCAGTTTTTGCTTTGTCATTGTGGGGTATTGTGTGTAGATTGATGAGGGGAAAAAACTATGTAATTCATTTTATAAGGCTGTAACCTAACAAAATGTGGAAAAAGTCAAGGAGTCTGAATACTTTCCAAAGGCCGCAGCGCAACTTAGAAGTAGCCTAAAGACCAGCAAACCGCAACCAATTTATTGTCACCCCGACATCGTTTTCAAATTTGGCCAAATATGTGGTAAAACCACTGACATGGCAACCCTGGTGCCGGCGCATGTATCGTGTTATTAGAAGCACGTAATCAATGACGTCCGAAGTTTAGTCGAACAACCACCTGATTGGTTTGGTATTGGTTTCGGCAGAGATCATTTTGAGGAGATGGGGAAACTCCATTGGAATCGTACTAACGCTGATTGTGTATGTTGCCCATGCGTCGTCAATGGGCCTTGCGGTGCATTCTGGGCGCTTTTGGGACAAGCAGAGCTCTCCTTCAAGAAGTGACTGGGAATCAATTGGGCGCTAGCTGAAAAACCCAACATTAACTTGAATTTTGTCAACAAGAAGTACAACATTACAAATATTTTATGTTGTTCTTGTCTATTACCGTTCTGTACTTTGTCATATTTGTACGTTTTTTATGGACCTCAGGAATGTGCAGAAGCTAATGGGGATCTGCATAAACTAAACCACTTTGTTGATTAAAGCCTCGAGTAATGAACCTATTTTCGACACAATTGGCAGGAATGCCTAAATGCTTCAGGAAGATTCATTTCCCCATCACTAGTGTCAGTGCAGGTCTAGGAATCCAAATTGACCACATGTAGCCTAACCAATTGGAATTGCGAACGTGCATAAAGATGGCAGTATTCAGAAATGACATCATTGTTTTAGCACCATCCACACTGAGTTTTTAAACTACAGCGCGTGATATGGTTCAATGTAACAATAAATCAGCATATTGTTTTTTCAAATTGCCGGAGTCTTGAAGCTAAAATTGGGATAATGTATACTCTGCTAATGACCATACAAAAAAAGAGTAAAGGAGAGCAATGTACAATACGGCGAACGTAGCAAAACAAGGAATTTGTGGTAAGTGCATGGGGGACGCCATCATTATGCATTTCCACTATTGGCTTTTGTCTCTAAACTCCTCAAACCTAGGCTGTAGGTTTATACCACTCAAGCAAAGTGAAATGCAATAGTCAATAGAACACAATACAGTATAGTTTATCCCCCATCCAATCAATCTGGCAACTTCTGTTTAAAAAAAATATATAATTGTCAACTGTCAACTCATTACTCAACTCAAACTCCTGGCTGCAGATTTAAGTCCCCAACAAGGACAATAAAGATATTTATATATTTTAATTGATTGTCTCATTACAGTTCTGGCTGATACAAACTTCCCTACCTCCTCCACCTGCACCTGCGGTCCCATTGAGATCCGAGCTGATGGTAGGTGTATAGTTAACCTTTACTTAACCAGGAGAACAGAAAAAACACTCTGGGTACTTATATTGTGTAGTACCGGTATGTAGTATACTTATATAATGTATAGTCTGTAGTGTTTCATTGAATTAAAGTTAGGGTTGTGATGATTCCAGTATCGCAATATTATTTTCCATGGCAAAAATGAAAACACGATGTATGTAAAATATTGTGTTCTTATAGCATGGAAAATAAATAAATGTGTCACTGGATGACAACAAATAATTTGTTTGTTTCCAACATTAGGGCTGTTTTCCTAAAGAAGTTAAATCCGCTTCGTGTTTTGTTTCCTTGCCAGTGTTGCCACGATACTGGCCCTAATTAAAGAGTGTGTTGTATTGTATCATATGGTCAGTCTCTGTGATTTTCCTGCAGGTCTAGGGGCTGCTGAGCTTTTGGAGGCCATTTTGAAGCTATTGCCCCTGGATACCTATGTCCCCAGCCCGGTAGGACCACAGGAACTGGATATGTCAATATGTCACATCTGGAAATCTAGCTGGACAGAGACCAATTGTTTTGTGTGTGTGTAGGCTGCCGTAATGGAGTTGGTGGACAGTGACAAAAAAAGAGGACTAGCCACTCCGGTATGGGACATCTTCAGACAGAAGCTGGCACATGCTGGGGTACAGGTGAGTGGATAGGGGTGAAGACATACATTCACACATACTTAAATGTTGAGTAAAGTTATTGTGTGTTCTGTGTCCAGGCTCCTCTAGAGAAGGTGGAGAGATTTGCTTTCTATGAACGAGCCAAGAAAGCCTTTGCTGTTGTAGCAACTGGGTGAGATAAAGGTTTTTCTCTCTTTGTGTGTGTGTCTGTGTGTGTGTGTGTGTGTGTGTGTGTGTGTGTGTGACATGCATCGGTGTAGATTAGTGGGGCGGCAGGTAACCTAGCGGTTAACAGCGTTGGGCCAGTGACCGAAAGGTCGCTGGTTCGAATCCCAGAGTTGGCAAGGTGGAGAAATCAGCCATTCTGCCCTTGAGCAAGGCAGTTAACCCCCAACAACAACTGCTCCCTGGGTGCCGGTGATGTCGATTTAAGGCAGCCCCCCGCACCTCTGATTCGGAGGGGTTGGGTTAAATGGTGGAAGACACATTTCGGTTGAATGCATTCAGTTGTGCAACTGACAAGGTATCTCCCTAGTGTAGTGTGTGTTTACTGTGTCGCTCTCTCTATAAACAGGGAGACAGCACTCTATGGGTGCCTGATACTGAAGAAGGGAGTCATCCCGGGTGAACTACTAGATTGACACACACAATGACTGTCATCGACGGGGCACAACCAAATTTTGCATTACCTAACAAATTACCTAAGAATTTAAGTTTGCGTGTTTCTGAAAAACATCTAGATTTTCTTAAAAAATATATATATTATTTTAATGTTGATGTCAAGATCCATCTGAAATGTAATAAGCAATGTATCAATTGTAAATAAACAATATAGTGATTTTGCTATTCGTATTCCATGTGAATGATTGTTAAGTAGATACAAGACAGATACATTACAGTAGAGGTTACAGGTGTCTTTAATGTCATAGAAGATCGACTTATACAGTACTGGTTATTAAACATATAATAAACTGTTAGAGCCATACAGTGTTAGATAATATACTTCTATAGTCACTCCCAAGTGCATTTAACCCATTACTGTATGTACAAGCTTTTAACTGTATTTGATTGGATGCAGTAGAGCTGAAGCTGACAGTCAGAGTTAGGGGGCAGATATTATGGGTCTTAGGTGTTTAATTAATGATGATAGAGGTCATCCAGGTCCTCCTCTGGTTGGCTGTACATCCTCTGAGAGGGCCAATCGGCAGACTGCTGCATGTCCTGGCCCCTCCCAATCACCTGAACAGGTACAGGCAGGTCACCATGGTAGAGGTCATCCCTGTCCTCCTCTGGCTTACTATGACCCCTGACCTCTGCCCCTACAGCAGAGAGTTCCCCCTGGTGAGGCACGTCCACTTGAGGCCCGTCTCCCCCCTTCATCTCTGGATGGTAGAGCTCGTCCCAGTCCTGTTCAGGGTGCCGTGGATCCACCAGGCCTGAGAAGAGATGAGAGATGTTATCTAGATCTATCCCAGCCTCCTGGTAGTACTTGGTGTTATCCTCCTCTATGGGCTCTGTCTGGATGGCCACCCCAACGAAGGTGTCCTCTGTCTGAGGTCGGGCTCTAGCTAGGTCAGCCTCCTGGGGCTGCTCCATGGATGGGTGGTACAGATGGTCCATGTCCTCCTCGGTTGTGGAGTATCTGCCTTTGACTACCTCAATTTCTACCTCTTTTTCTACCTTCTGTCTCTTCCCACCTCCCCTGTCCCCTCTCATGTTCTTCCAGATGGGCATGACAGGGTTGATGTCATTGTCAGTAATGTCCATGTTTTCAGGAGCCTCCACCTGCTTCAGCCCCAGATCAAACATCCCCTTCTCCTCCTCAGACCTAGAGAGGGAGTGAACAGTGAAGCATTATTACTGGGTGGAGGGAGGGAAACGCAGGCCGGGATTCAATCTGTATAACGCTGTGGACAATGTTACCGTGTTTGTGGAAATCGCATTCAAGGTAAACGGTGCAATGTCGACAGTGCGATTGGATTGCATCCCGGCTTTAGGCTGATGCACAGGTCTGCATCGTTTATTATATATGAACCGAACGATAACAGAACAGAGAGGACTCACATCAGAGTCTCCTGGACTGCAGACTCAGCCACTTTACCCTGCAGGAGAGAGAACAGAAGACTGGTGCATAGGAGAATAATAGTACCTAGGACACTGAAGAGAGGCGAGTACATACACTGCTGTTGAAAAGTTTGTGGTCACTCAGAAATGTCCTTGTTTTCGAAAGAAAATTTAAAAAATGGTCCATTAAAATAACATCAAATTGATCAGAAACAGTGTAGACATTGTTAATGTTGGAAATGGGTATTGTAGCTGGAAATGGCTGATTTTTAATGGAATATCTACATAGGCGTACAGAGGCCCATTATCAGCAACCATCAGTCCTGTGTTCCAATGGCACGTTGTGTTTGCTAATCCAAGTTTATCATTTCAAAAGGCTAATTGATAATTAGAAAACCCTTTTGCAATTATGTTAGCATAGCTGAAAACTGTTGTGCTGATTAAAGAAGCAATAAAACTGGCCGCCTTGAGACTAGTTGAGTATCTGGAGCATTAGCAATTGTGGGTTCGATTACAAGATCAAAATGGCCAGAAACAAAGAACTTTCTTCTGAAACTCGTCAGTCTATTCTTGTTCTGAGAAATGGAGGCTATTCCATGCGAGAAATCGCCGAGAAACTGAACATCTCGTACAACGCTGTGTACTACTCCCTTCACAGAACAGCGCAAACTGGCACTAACCAGAATAGAAAGAGGAGTCGGAGGCCCCGGTGCACAACTGAGCAAGAGGACAAATATATTAGAGTATCTAGTTTGAGAAACAGACGCCTCACAGGTCCTCAACTGGCAGCTTCATTAAATAGTACCCGCAAAACACCAGTCTCAACATCAACAGTGAAGAGGTGACTCTGGGATGCTGACCTTCTAGGCAGAGTTGCAAAGAAAAAGATTAGAAAAGATTAAGATGGGCAAAAGAACACAGACACTGGAAGATTGGAAAAAAGTGTTATGGACAGACGAATCGAAGTTTGAGGTGTTGGGATCACAAAGAACAACATTTGTGAGATGCAGACCAAATGAAAAGATGTTGGAGGAGTGCTTGATGACCTATGTCAAGCATGGTGGAGGCAATGTGATGGTCTGGGGGTGCTTTGGTCGTGGTAAAGTGGGAGATTTGTACAGGGTAAAATGGATCTTGAAGAAGGAAGGCTATCACTCCATTTTGCAACGCCATGCCATACCCTGTGGACGGCGCTTGATTGGAGCCAATTTCCTCCTACAACAGGACAATGACCCAAAGCACAGCTCCAAACTATGCAATAACTATTTAGGGAAGAAACAGTCAGATGGTATTCTGTCTATAATGGAGCGGCCAGCACAGTCACCGGATCTCAACCCTATTGAGCTGTTGTGGGACCAGCTTGACCGTATGGTACGTAAGAAGTGCCCATCAAGCCAATCCAACTTGTGGGAGGTGCTTCAGGAAGCATGGGGTGAAATATCTTCAGATTACCTCAACAAATTGACAACTAGAATGCCAAAGGTCTGCAAGGCTGTAATTGCTGCAAATGGATGATTCTTTGACGAAAGCAAAGTTTGAAGGACACAATTATTATTTCTATTAAAAATCATTATTTCTAACCTTGTCAATGACTACATTTCCTATGCATTTTGCTGTATTTCCTATTCAAACTCATTTAATTGATGTTTTCATGGAAAACAAGGAAATGTGACCCCAAACTTTTGAACGGTAGTGTACATTAAAGTGGTGTTATATTTATGCAGTCTACGGTACATACCCAGGACTTGTATGGCTTGGCTGAGTTGCCATAAACCAGTAGAGAGATGCAGATCAACGCAGAAATTCTGAGAGGAAGAGAGACATGATCATCAACTGACTATTGATGATGATTATTAAACTGATTAACTGACACCTGATTCACTGTGTTCTGATGTAACGTGTATCAAATCAAATCAAATTGTATTTGTCACATGTGCTGAATACAACAGCTGTAGACCTTACAGTGAAATTCTTACTTACAAGCCCTTAACCAACAATGCAGTTTTAAGAAAAATACATGTTAAGTAAAAAATAAAAATAAAATAACAAATAATTAAAGAGCAGCAGTAAAATTACAGTAGCGAGGCTATATACAAGGGGTACCGGTACAGAGTCAATGTGCGGGGGCACAGGTTAGTCGAGGTAATTGAGGTAATATGTACATGTGACTATGCATAGATAATAAACAGAGAGTAGCAGCAGCGTAAAAGAGGGGGTGGGGGACAATGCAAATAGTCTGGGTAGCCATGATTAGCTGTTCAGGAGTCTTATGGCTTGGGGGTAGAAGCTGTTAAGAAGCCTTTTGGACCTAGACTTGGCGCTCCGGTACCACTTGCCGTGCGGAAGCAGAGAGAACAGTCTATGACTAGGGTAGCTGGAGTCTTTGACAATTTTTAGGGCCTTCCTAGTATAGAGGTCCTGGATGGCAGGAAGCTTGGCTCCAGTGATGTACTGGGCCGTACGTACCACCCTCTGTAGTGCCTTGCGGTCGGAGGCCGAGCAGTTGCCATACCAGGCAGTGATGCAACCAGTCAGGATGCTCTTGATGGTGCAGCTGTATAACTTTTTGAGGATCTGGGGACCCATGCCAAATCTTTTCAGTCTCCTGAGGGGGAATAGGCTTTGTCGTGCCTTCTTCACGACTGTCTTGGTGTGTTTGGACCATGATAGTTTGTTGGAAATGTGGACACCAAGGAACTTGAAGCTCTCAACCTGCTCCACTACAGCCCCATCGATGAGAATGGAGGCGTGCTCGGTCCTCCTTTTCCTGTAGTCCATAATCATCTCCTTTGTCTTGATCACGTTGAGGGAGAGGGTGTTATCCTGGCACCACACGGCCAGGTCTCTGACCTCCCTATATGCTGTCTCATTGTTGTCGGTGATCAGGCCTACCACTGTTGTGTCATCAGAAAACGTAATGATGGTGTTGGAGTCGTGCCTGGCCATGCAGTCTTGGGTGACCAGGGAGAACAGGAGGGGACTGAGCACGCACCCCTGAGGGCCCCCCGTGTTGAGGATCAGCGTGGCAGATGTGTTGTTTCCTACCCTTACCACCTGGGGGCGGCCCGTCAGGAAGTCCAGGATCCAGTTGCAGAGGGAGGTGTTTAGTCCCAGGGTCCTTAGTGATGAGCTTTGAGGGCACTATGGTGTTTAACGCTGAGCTGTAGTCAGTGAATAGCATTCTCACGTAGGTGTTCCTTTTGTCCAGGTGGGAAAGGGCGGTGTGGAGTGCAATAGAGATTGCATCATCTGTGGATCGTTTGGGGCGGTATGCAAATTGGAGTGGGTCTAGGGTTTCTGAGATAATGGTGTTGATGTGAGCCATGACCAGCCTTTCAAAGCACTTCATGGCTACAGACGTGAGTGCTACGGGTCTGTAGTCATTTAGGCAGGTTACCGTAGTGTTCTTGGTCACAGGGACTATGGTGGTCTGCTTGAAACATGTTGGTATTACAGACTCAGTCAGGGACAGGTTGAAAATGTCAGTGAAGACACTTGCCAGTTGGTCAGCGCATGCTCGGAGTACACGTCCTGGTAATCTGTCTGGCCTTGTGAATGTTGACCTGTTTAAAGGTCTTACTTACATCGGCTACGGAGAGCGTGATCACACAGTCGTCCGGAACAGCTGAATCTCTCATGAATGCTTCAGTGTTGCTTGCCTCAAACCGAGCATAGAAGTAATTTAGCTCGTCTGGTAGGCTTGTGTCACTGGGCAGCTCGTGGCTGAGCTTTCCTTTTGTAGTCTGTTATAGTTTGCAAGCCCTGCCACATCCGACGAGCGTCGGAGCCGGTGTAGTACGATTCAATCTTAGTCCTGTATTGACACTTTGCCTGTTTGTCGGTTCGTCTGAGGGCATAGCGGGATTTCTTATAAGCGTCCAGGTTAGAGTCCCGCTCCTTGAAAGCGGCAGCTCTTGGTAAATAGTGTGGTCTACAGCTTATCATGAGATACTCTACCTCATGCGAGCAAAACCTTGAGACTTCCTTAATATCCGATTTTGTGCACCAGCTGTTGTTTACAAATATACACAGACCGCCACCCCTTGTCTTACCGGAGGCCACTGTTCTATCTTGCCGATGCAGCGTAAACGCCGCCAGTTGTATGTTATCCATGTCGTCGTTCAGCCACGACTCGGTGAAACATAAGATATTACAGTTTTTAATGTCCCGTTGGTAGGATAACCTATATTTGTGATCGTAGCTCGTCTATTTTGTTATCCAATGATTGTACATTGGCTAATAGGACTGATGGTAGAGGCAGATTACACACTAGCTGTCGGATCCTTACAAGGCACCCCGACCTACGTCGCCGATATCTCCGTCTCTTTCTCCTGCGAATGACGGGGATTTGGGCCTTGTCGGGTGTCTGAAGTAAATCCTTTGTGGCCGACTTGTTAAATAAAAAATCTTTGTCCAGTACAAGGTCAGTTATCGCTGTCCTGATATCCAGAACCTCTTTTTGGTCATAAGAGACGGTTGCAGAAACATTATGTACAAAATAAGTTACAAATAATGTGAAAAAACACACAATAGCACAGTTGGTTAGGAGCCCGTAAAACGGCAGCCATCTCCTCCGGCGCCATTCTCATGTACTATATGGCAATGGTTTTCCCCTGAAAGTACAGAAAGAGGTTCTTACCTGAACATGATGTCTCTGTGAAGTGTTCTTCCTGTGTGTTTCTCAGCTGAGATTATAGTCTTGGTGACACACACACACTTGTCCTGACACACAACAGAACAAAGGTTGTATAATAAACTGATTTCGACCTTTGAACTCACCCAGTTATTCAGTATTATTAGCCATGTTGGCTGTCATGTTTGGGTTGTATGGCTATGTAATTTGTATAGACTGTTTAGCTTTGTGTATAAACTATGAGGAAGTCGTTATGTGGAAAATGAAGAGTCATAAGTGACATTTTAACCTCGCCATCACCACTGCTACACACTACAGAGGCTCTAACTGTCCTTCATCTGTGACAGATTTAAATGATAACACACAGGGACAAAATAGTTATACATTTATGTGTGGAATGGATTGTATTTTGGAAATATGAAGCCATTTATGCAAGTCTGACATACTGCTGCTGAAGTTGAATTGGATATGATTGTTTCTGTCTGACACACTGGGGCCAGCCCGCCCAGCCCAGATTCTCTATGGCAGCATAACAACACAGTGAGATGAATCATTAACCATCTATTTTATCTGATGTTACCATGGTCTAACATTCTAACAGCCTTATCACCACTGTGTCACTGTAGCTAATTACACACACACAAACATCTTTCAATCCCCCCCTAAGCACACACACCAGCCTAGTCTCATTGACTTGATGTAACATAGTAAATGTAAATCCGGGACACTTAAATTCGTATGATATGTTACGTTTGGTATGGTTACATAAGACATAAGGTTACTTAAGGCAAGAACGAAAAGAAGCATTTTAGCTAATTAGGAACTTTGCAACTACTTACTACTTTTTAGCTACATTGCAGCGACTTGCTAACCCTTCCCCTAACCTTAACCCTTTAACCTAACTCCTAACTGTAACCCGTAACCCCTAGCCTAGCTAACGTTGCCACCTAGCTAACGTTAGCAACAACAAATTGGAATTCTTAACTTATCATACTTATTGAAAATTTGTAAAATATTGTACGAATTGCAATTAAGAAACGTAACATATAATACTAAACGGAGGGAGACAGATTTACATTTACTATGTTACGTTTACCACTGAGTACAGGTTGCACACACACATCCCTGCACACACACACAGGGTGGGAGAGATTGGATGCAGATGGATGTGGCTGTTATCTTGGTGTGTATGTGTGTGTGAAAATTATCTTTCTCTACATCAAAGTCTTCTGATAAGTTAAACCCTAGAAGACAAAACCATCAGCTATCCTAGCTATGATAACCAACTAACCATAATCAACCATGGCATACTGTTATTTCCTCAGGACTATAATAATAATATGCCATTTAGCAGACGCTTTTATCCAAAGTGACTTACAGTCATGCGTGCATACATTTTTACGTATGGGTGGTCCCGGGGCTCAAACCCACTACCCTGGCGTTACAAGCGCCATGCTCTACCAATTGAGCTACAGAGGACCACACTATCAATTAGTCGTCTTGTTTATTGTTTCTGCTTCCAACAGTCCTATCTGACGCGTTACTCTGACCAGAAAAAAACATATTTGATTTTGTCCTTGTGAAACTGCAGCCTCTGTATATATACAGTAGGCCCATTAATGTAAAAATTACATTAACAGCCTAGTGACAGAAATATAATATCTGTGAAAAGGGTGTTTGACACACATCCAACTGTAGAAGAAAAAATGGTAATGTCCACTGTTTGCTTCTCCCACAAGTGATCTTTAATAAACAGTGAGTGGGAATTACCCTTTTTCTACAGAACTACGATATGATCCAGATAGCTGTGGCTGTCGCAGGGATGAATAGTTCCTACTGAGTGACTCTACATCTTAGTGGCCTCTCTCTCTCATCCAGGAACAAAAGAGTGTACACACACACACACATACACACACACACCATAGGAGGCTGCTGAGGGGAGGCCGGCTCATAATAATGGCTGGAATGTGGTAAATGGAATGGTATCACACAAATGGAAACCATGTGTTTAAAGTATTCGATACCATTCAATTTATTCCGTTCTAGCCATTACTATGAGCCTGTCCTCCCCAATTAAGGTGCCACCGGCCACCTGTGACACACATCCTGTCCCAGGGATGGCTCCACAGCGACTGCTGCTATCTGGGCTTATGATCACATCCATGTGTCGCTACAGCAGAATGTACTCTCCTCTACACCGCACATCTACAGACTGTAGAGCCCCACAGTGGAGGTGTCATAATACCCATAGAACCTAGCGGTCAAATAGGGAAATGGTTCCAATCGTTTTTCCATCATTCATTTTTCCCATAGGGAATTTTATAAACACTTACAATGTTTCGTGTAGGCTTACCCTGGCATGACGTTTTGATAACCATGTAAATCTCTCTTGGACAAGGTAACTTTTATCAATATATTAATCTCTATTTACTCTCAGATTCAAAAATGCTAATTAGCATCAAAGTAGACATTGTGCAAGACTACAAATCCCTGCAAGCTCCTGAATGTCATCTCTAGCTGACACCTTTGTTAACAGGTAATGTGTCAATTACAAACTTCACACAATTGTCATTTTAAAGAAATGTAGCCATTTTATTAATTACTACATTTAGCTAACATTAGATAGTTAATCCAGAGATTCTTACCTTTACCTCGATTCGGCAGTCTCGTCCAGATCATCATGGCATTTGTAGTTCTTTATGATAGCCACATTAGCTGCTAATTAGCGTTTCATTTTTGGTAAATACAGGCATATACAGTGGGGGAAAAAAGTATTTAGTCAGCCACCAATTGTGCAAGTTCTCCCACTTAAAAAGATGAGAGAGGCCTGTAATTTTCATCATAGGTACACGTCAATTATGACAGACAAAATGAGAAAAAAAAATCCAGAAAATCACATTGTAGGATTTTTTATGAATTTATTTGCAAATTATGGTGGAAAATAAGTATTTGGTCAATAACAAAAGTTTCTCAATACTTTGTTATATACCCTTTGTTGGCAATGACACAGGTCAAACGTTTTCTGTAAGTCTTCACAAGGTTTTCACACACTGTTGCTGGTATTTTGGCCCATTCCTCCATGCAGATCTCCTCTAGAGCAGTGATGTTTTGGGGCTGTCGCTGGGCAACACGAACTTTCAACTCCCTCCAAAGATTTTCTATGGGGTTGAGATCTGGAGACTGGCTAGGCCACTCCAGGACCTTGAAATGCTTCTTACGAAGCCACTCCTTCATTGCCCGGGCGGTGTGTTTGGGATCATTGTCATGCTGAAAGACCCAGCCACGTTTCATCTTCAATGCCCTTGCTGATGGAAGGAGGTTTTCACTCAAAATCTCACGATACATGGCCCCATTCATTCTTTCCTTTACACGGATCAGTCGTCCTGGTCCCTTTGCAGAAAAACAGCCCGAAAGCATGATGTTTCCACCCCCATGCTTCACAGTAGGTATGGTGTTCTTTGGATGCAACTCAGCATTCTTTGTCCTCCAAACACGACGAGTTGAGTTTTTACCAAAAAGTTCAATTTTGGTTTCATCTGACCATATGACATTCTCCCAATCCTCTTCTGGATCATCCAAATGCACTCTAGCAAACTTCAGATGGGCCTGGACATGTACTGGCTTAAGCAGGGGGACACGTCTGGCACTGCAGGATTTGAGTCCCTGGCGGCATAGTGTGTTACTGATGGTAGGCTTTGTTACTTTGGTCCCAGCTCTCTGCAGGTCATTCACTAGGTCCCCCCGTGTGGTTCTGGGATTTTTGCTCACCGTTCTTGTGATCATTTTGACCCCACGGGGTGAGATCTTGCGTGGAGCCCCAGATCGAGTGAGATTATCAGTGGTCTTGTATGTCTTCCATTTCCTAATAATTGCTCCCACAGTTGATTTCTTCAAACCAAGCTGCTTACCTATTGCAGATTCAGTCTTCCCAGCCTGGTGCAGGTCTACAATTTTGTTTCTGGTGTCCTTTGACAGCTCTTTGGTCTTGGCCATAGTGGAGTTTGGAGTGTGACTGTTTGAGGTTGTGGACAGGTGTCTTTTATACTGATAACAAGTTCAAACAGGTGCCATTAATACAGGTAACGAGTGGAGGACAGAGGAGCCTCTTAAAGAAGAAGTTACAGGTCTGTGAGAGCCAGAAATCTTGCTTGTTTGTAGGTGACCAAATACTTATTTTCCACCATAATTTGCAAATAAATTCATTAAAAATCCTACAATGTGATTTTCTGGAGAAAAAAAATCTCAATTTGTCTGTCATAGTTGACGTGTACCTATGATGAAAATTACAGGCCTCTCTCATCTTTTTAAGTGGGAGAACTTGCTTAATTGGTGGCTGACTAAATACTTTTTTTCCCCACTGTAACTATTGTGACCTCGAAGAAATAGAAAATGAAACTCATTTCATCCTCTATTGCCCTTTCTACCACGATATACGCTTGCTCTTATTCCAGAAAGCACACCAGATATACCGTGGCATTATGTGGCTGAGCGATGAGGAGAAACTGAAATGTTTTTTTGTCCATTGTGTATTTCCATTTGCGTAATATTTAGATAAAGCCTGGAATAAAAGAAAACGGGCTACCTATAATTAAATTATACAAATATTTAGCTTCTATGTGGTAAATGTTACATGTGTATATAGATTGTTTATAGGCTTGTCTCCCAAATTAATCTTCTCTTTGTGTCAGACTGGGTTCAAATGCCTTCTGTATGTATGTATGTATGTATGTATGTATGTATGTATGTATGTATGTATGTATGTATGTATGTATGTATGTATGTATGTATGTATGTATATATGTCTATATATACAGTGTGTATGTATGTATGTATATTATTTTACTGTTCTAGGGATATAATTATTGTTTGGATAACCTTATTTACTATTATGTGTTGATTTCTACCTTACATTTTTTTCACTCTTTATGCAATGCGCCCTGCAGAGAACACCGGAAGAAGAATTATCACTGAATTACCTCAGTTAATTATTGTCATGTTTGTTCGTGTCAATTAATCCCGAAAGGGATGGGTTGCCAATTGGCGATTTGACACGAAAATACAATTCAAATCAAATGTA